ATGAAACAGCACCAAATTTACTGAAAAGAAATACATGTTGCTGAAGCTTTTTTTGTCTTGCACTCATCAGGACTCACAGCCTATTGCCAGATAGCCTCACATTATATCTGATAATTCTGAACAAATTTTATAATGTCCTAAAAGTATAATTTCTTACAGTTGTGAAGAGGTTGAGATGTTTTATCACATTAGATATCTTGTCTAAATATAAGGTGTTGTTAGTGTAGCCATCTTTCATTTCTGGCACTGTATCTCCTGTTTAAGAAAATTGGAATTAAGATTAAAGCCAATGTTAGGTTCATAACTTGTAAAGTACCAATAAAAAGATGAGATGTTGTTGTTTGATCTTGCACAAAACATTATTAGTTGAGTGTAGAAGTTCAAGGCCAGGTTAGAGTGGGACTGAGAACTAAAGTGGCAATCGTAAGGCTACACTGGCAAACTGACTCTAGGTGCACAGCAAAGTGATCCCCCAGTCAACATTTGCAGACCACACCATGAACAATGAACATAATGCATCAAATTATCAGTAAAAGTAAATCATATTTTACTTACTTATTAGAAATGCTCTAAATCCTGTATAGTTGGAAAGGCGGAAGTGATAGGGCATATGTTGTATCACCTGTAGAGTCATAGAGATGTATAGCCTGGAAACAGACCCTTTGATCCAACTTGTCCATGTCAACTGGACGTCCTAAATTAATCTAGTCCAGCATTTGGCTCATATCCCTCCTAGTCATATGCCCAGTCAGATGCCTTTTAAATGTTGTAATTGTACCAGCCTCCACCACTTCCTCTGGCAGCTCATTCCATACACGCACCACCCTCTGCATGAAAAAGTTGTCCCTTAATTCCCTTTTAAACCTTTCCCCTACTTCCAAGGGAAGATGTCAGGGCAGGAGAACAGGTAAAGGAAGAATGGTTGCTGTGGAGATATCAATCCTTTAGAAAATACAGAAAAATCTTGATTTCCTGATGGCACGTGGAGATGCAGAAATGAAGTCAGGTGTGTTTGTTGTATGTTTTGAGCCTCACACCAGCTTGCAGTTCATGCTTGCAATACATTTGAACTTATTAATATAAAACTTTTATAAATTACATCCTATTTTCAAAATACAGTCAGCAGCACAGACAAATCTTGTTGTACCAGTTCATGTTTGTTTAAAAGTAGCACACATTAGTCAGCTTTGTGCAGTAATGTCTATGGGCAGCAGTTATCCATATTTAATTCTACAGCATAAGGGAGGGGAGCATGAGAATGGGTGCCTGTGGCAACACCCAGTGAGTCAGTCATCAGCGGAGATGCATATGGGATGGGGTTTGTAGCATGATGGATTGGATAAAGCATTCAGGATAGGACAGAAGGTGGAGTTCGAGTTATGGAGGTGCAAAGTGGGAGAATGATTTGGAATCCAGCGCGTGAGGTTTGGGGTGTGTTAATAGAGGCAGTCAGAAAAGAGAAGGTAAGAAAATGAGGGATCTGAAGGGTGATGTCCAATTGTGGTGCCATGCCACATTGTTGGCTAGTATAGACCTTACAGGGCTTTAAGTCCACCTATAACATTTCAATAATCTCCACTGGGAAAGATCTCCAACATGCATTGAAGGGAAGGCTGGCTGAGTCTGCATATTCAGTCAAATCCCATAGGTGGTGAATCAAACACAGGACATTGCTGTCAGAAGGGTCACTCTACCCGAAATGTTAACTTTGAATTTTCTCCACAGATGCTGCTAGACCCGCTGAACTTTTCCGGCAATTTCTATTTTTGTGTCAGTTAACTGCCAATCTTAATTCTCAGACAAAACAGGCAGATTCTGATTGGTCAGGGTGTTGCCATGGGGCTACGGCAGTATTTGTCATCTCCTGCCCTCTTTTTATTATGAAAATTTGCAATTTCCTTTTGCTACACAAAATGCAGGCTGTGCTTAATGATGATTCCATGTTTACTTATTTGGACCTGCCACTGCATATGACTGAACAGCAAAACTTGACAGCAAATTGCAGAGGCATTTGTTGGACTTGCATAAGGGTGTTAGATATAACACAGTGTGGAGCTGGAGGATCACAGCAGGACAGGCAGCATCAGAGGAGCAGGAAAGTTGACGTTTTGGTTGGGACCGTTCTTCAGGAATGGGAAAGGAGAAGGGAGGTCAGAAATAAACAGAGAGAGGGGAAGGTGGGATGGTGATAGGTGAGTGCAGGTAGGGAGTGGTGGGGATTGTTCAGTGAGGTGGGAGGAGCGGATAGGTGGGAGAGAAGATGGACAGGTTGTGTCAGGTCAAGGAGGCGGGGATAAGAGGGAGGGTTGGTCAAGGGATGAGGCTAGGGGAGGGGAGATTTTGAAACTGGTAAAATCCACGTCTAGGCCATTGGGTTGTAAGCTCCCAAGGTGGAATACGAGATGCTGCTCCTCCAGTTTCCGGGTGGCATCATTGTGACACTGGAGGAGGCCCAGGATGAACATGTCACCCAGGGAGTGGAAGGGGAAGTTGAAATGGTTCACGACCGGAAGGTGTTGTCATTTGTCGCAGAGTGCAGGTGCTCTACAAAGCAGTCTCCGAGCCTCCGCTTGGTCTCACCAATGTAGAGGAGGCCACATTGGCAGCAGTGGATGCAGTAGACCACGTTGACGGATGTTCAGGTGAACATCTGTCTAATGTGGAAGTTAAGGGCGTGAACCTACTTATTGATACATATGGTACGTTTTGTCCTCATTGTTCAGTGAGTCCATTCATGTATGGGCTACCCAAGAAGCATGATGTTCTTAAACCCACAACATGAATTGGCCAAATGATTATGTGAACTGTTGCAACTAGTTCTAAATGGGTTTTCCATATACAGTGCAGATTAATGTATGCTTCTTCAAGCACAGGCAAATGCATCACACTGCAAACTGACCTGTTGATCTTAAATTGGTTTCCAGTGTAACTCTTAGCACAGTCCAGATTATTTAATAAATGATTTCCAAATGCAGAATTACATTTAATGTCCAAATCATTTTTCTGAGGATTGGAAGCATGGCTGGTAAACCAAAGTCAGTGTGCTGCCCATTGTGATTGGTCAATGGGACATGTTGTAAAATACAGCCCACCACTCATTGGTATGAATGGCCTACATACTTGCCATCGCACCTCCACTGAAACTCATATTGCATTATTCATTTGTGTGGTAGCCAACACATCTTTTTGGCTTAATGGCAGCATCCTGTTAATGGAGGAAACCACTTGTGGGTCAGACAAGATGAAGGCTCTGAAAGCTCACCTACTAGCAGAACTGGCACAGTACATATTATAGAAAACCTAATAACCTGATAGATTTTTATCTGCATCTAAATCGTATTCCCAGCAACTTCGGGGTAATCTGACCTGACAGTGAAGGGGATAAAGGATTGGTCAGCCCAGTTCCAAAGAATATGGCCTCGCTCTTGCCTTAATTTGTCTTGGCTTCCATGGCCAGTTCGAACTGGTAGCTGATGCTCATGAGTCTGCTTTTTGACAGCGGATTCAAGCAGAAAATGTCGATTTCGTCCATGCACAGGGAGGCTGTGAGCTGCAGGTCTCTGCTGCCTGGAACAGTCACCTTCTCAGGCTTGCATCCTTCCTGATGGGACTCAGCAAAAGTCTCCATACAATCCATAAACAAGGTGGGAGAGAGTGGGCAGCCCTGACTGACTCCAGATCTGATCGGGAAGCTTTCTGATTCCCACTCGTTGATTGAGACTGCACTAACAATATCGGTGTAGAGCAATCAGATCCGATTGTACATTCCCTCCCCAAAACCCATTTTGGACACTACGTCCTACATGATCGTGTGCGATATCCTGTTAAAGACCTTCGCCTGGTCCAGGCTGTTGAGGCAAGCATCCACCTTCTGTCCTGCATGTAGGCAATTGTATCACTGATGAGCACAAGGCTCTCAGAGATCGTCCTGCCTGGTTATGGCTTAGGTTTGTCTGGGGTAAATCACCAATCCCACAGCAGACCTGACCCAGTTGGTAATGACCTTAGGATTTTATAATCTGCATTCAGCAATGAGTCCCATCCAACATTTTTTAATTTCACAAATATACTTTATTCAGAAAAATTTTTGTATATATACATTGACACAAAAGCGATTCTGTTGCACATCATGTAAACACACAAATCAAAGACATCTCTTACACATAGGGTACAATAATTGAACAAACAGCCATTCATGTTTAGCAGAAAGACCTCAGACCATGGTCTTTCCCCACTGCACCTTGGCAGCAGCTGCCTCAACCTTTAGTGCATCCCTCAGCACGTAGTCTTGAACCTTAGAACATGCCAGTCTGCAACACTCAGAAGGGGTGACTCCAACATTTCCTTTGAGCACCAGATTTTTTGTGGCAGAAAGATTACTCACCGATTCCTAATTCCCTCCCTCTAGCCCTTCCACTTGTAGACGAAAGTGACGATTGCCGTGCCTCATGGATTCACACAAGCTGCCTACCAGACACAGTCTTTGTCTTTTCTGATGAAGGGTCTAGGCCCGAAACGTCAGCCTCTCTGCTCCTATGATGCTGCTTGGCCTGCTGTGTTCATCCAGCCCTGCACCTTGTTGTCTCGGATTCTCCAGCATCTGCAGTTCCTACTATCTCACACACAGTCTTGTATCGTTCTAGCTAATTCTGGCTGGTCAACTCCTACGGTCGAATACAACTTCGGTTGGTAAACTGTTCAAACTAAATCAGAGACTTAGACAGCTGGACCAATGAGGGAGGGGGCCGGGGCACTGTGGGCGGGATGGGCAGGGAGCCTGTGGGCGGGGCGATAGTAAGTGGGCGGGGTGAGTAGGATGGGCGAGGAGTCGGATTTGGGACAACAGTATGTGGGCGGGGCGATGATACGTGGGCGGGGTGATACTTTGAGGGCGGGCCGACAGCGCGGAGCGGGCAAGCAGTCGATGTTCCGATTGGTCTGGACTGCAACGGAATGAACCAATCCAGCGCGGCACGTCACGTGCTGGTTTTTGGCGCCAAACTCCGTCAGAATAGCGAGAATCGCAACCATCTCAGGCCTGTGGTCAGAGCGACCTGTGTCCCTCCTAGACCCAGGATTACCTCAAGTTCCATCCAAGAGCGATTAATCCGCTCCCCGGGCTCTCGATCTCTTTAGGCCCCGGCACATAGCGACTTTTACACCCCGTGGGCCACACCGTCCTCCCGGGAGTTGGTACCCCTCTTGAGGGAGTCCGCTGCGCCATGGCGCAGGCCAGACTGACCGACTTTTTCCCTCAGGCCAAAAAACCGAGGACGACCCTGCTGGGCCTGAAAGGTTCAAAGTCTCCCGGTGGTCGCCGCTTGCAGCCGAGAAGGGGAAGGCTGGCGGCTGTTCCTCCCTGCCGGATCCCTGCGCTGTCCACAGTATCCGACCCACCGGACTCTGGTGAATGGCCGACCCTGGGCCAGCAGCAAGGCAGCGGCCCAGCTCTTCACCCAGAGGCCGAGGTCATCAAGAGAGAGCCCGCACTCAGCGACCTCGTCACACCGTCGAAAGGCGAGCCACTTGGAGCTGGGTCTCGCTCCAGCACCGGCAAGAAGCGCAGCCGCTCCACCTCCGTCGATGGTGCGCCGACCTCGGCGGTGGGATCGCAGCGGGCGGGCAGGGTGCCGTCTGCCCGGAGGTGTCTCCTGTTACAGCCCAGGGAAGCGGGGGAGAGTCCTGTTCCAGAAAAGAGCGAAGTGAAGGAAGATGCCGAGCTGACTCCTACGGGAGCATCCGAGCCCACGGTGAGACTTGAATAATGTGTCTGCCACCGGACAGCGGGTGGGAAAGGCTTTTTAAAAAGAAACAAAGGACTGCGGATGCTGGAAATCAGAAATAGAAATTCAGGTCTGGCAGCATCTGTGGAGAGAAAACAGTTAACGTTTCGGGTCCGGTGACCCATCTTCGGAGCAGTTTTGAAGGATGAAACGCTGTTTTCTCTCCACAGATGCTGCCAGACCTGCTCAGTTTCTCCAGCGATTTCTTTGTGTTTGGGAAGAGTAACTTGCATTCATCTTTTCCTTACCTTAGGACGACCCAGAGCCCGATTTGTAGATTTTGACCGTTGCAATTCAACCATTTCCTCCGCTTCGGAAAGCTACTTTTGTAACCTAATCGGATGATTACATGGATTAAAAAAACAGGTGCAGGGCTATGGTACAAGGTTGAAGAGTGCCAACTGTTGGGTTCTTAGAGAATTGGCACAGGCACAATGGGCCCCCTTGTGCAGAACCGTTCTATCATTCCAAACACTTTATTGCAGTAGTCAATTTTGCAGAAAATGTTCCATAAAGAAGATCCCAATCTGGAAAAAGAATTGAGGATAAAGAAAATTTTGCTTTGTGCACACTACCGTGGATCTCAGTCTAGCTGGAGTTGTGAACAAAATAATGGCGGGTGCATTGACATGGCATAATAGAAGCAGGATAGACCATTATGTTGTCTGGTTTTTTTGTTACTTTTTTGGAGTAGGCATAAACATGTTTTCATCAGGTTTATTTCAATGATTTTTAGGTGGTTGGCTCAAAAGAATCAAGATGTGGAGGTGCTGGTGTTGGACTGGGGTGGACAAGGGCAGAAATCGTACGACACCAGATTATAGTCCAACAGATTTATTTGAAAACACAAGCCTTTGGAGCCTCACTCCTCTTTCTGGTGTTAGTGAGAGAGGTGGCATCAGACACAATTTATAAGTAAAAGATCAAAGATCACACAACTGATGAGGATGTGTTAAACAAAACTTTAATCTCTCTCCTTCCCTGCTCCTGACTTCATTACAGCCTTGGTTCAAACATGCAGTTCAAGGCCATATTGGACAAACTGTGGCACCAAGGATCCCTCTCAAAACTTGAGTCGGCGGGAGTTGGGACAACCGTCAACTGGTTAGAGTCCTATCTAGCACAAAGGAAGTTGGTTATGGTTGTCTAAGGTTAGTTATTTCTGTTCTGAGGCATCTCTGCAGGAGGTCTTCAGCATTATTCTAGGCCCAACCATCTTTAGCTCCTTTGTCAATGACCTGCCCTCTATCTTAAGGTCAAAAGCAGGATGCTCACTAATGGGTATACAATGTTCAGCATTACTGTTGACTCAATCCGTTACTGAAGTGGTCCGCGTCCGTACACAGCACAATCCAGGCTTGGGGTGACAAATAATGGAAACGTTTGCACCGCAGAAGCAAAAACTGAAAGAACTGCGGATGCTGTAAATCAGAAACAAAAACAGAAATTGCTGGAAAAGCTCAGCAGCTCTCGCAGCATCTCTCAAAAATCAGAATTAACGTTTTGAGTCTGGCGACTCTTCCTCAGCACCACAGAAGTGCAAGCTAACGACCACCTCCAACATGGGAGAATCTAATGGTTGCCTGTTGAAATGTGAATGTTATTGCCATCTCTGAATTCCCTTCCTTAACATCTTTGACTGAATGTTGAACTGGACTCGCTATATAAATACAGTGGCAACAAGAACAGATAAGATGTTAGGAATCCTGCAGAAAGTAACTCATCTCCCGACTCCCCAAAGCCTGCCACATCTGCAAGACGCACATCAGGAGTATGATGGAATATTCTCCACCTGCCTGGATGGGTGCAGCTCCAACAACAAAGAAGCTTGACGCCAGTGAGGCAAAACAAGCCACTCGATTTGCAGCACATCCAAAAGCATTACTCCGTTCACAACCAACACTTAGTAGCTCTGTGTACCATTCACAAGATGCCCTGTAGAAATTCTCCAAGGCTCCTTAGGACAGCACCTTCCAAACCCACAACCATAACTATCTGGAATGACCAGGTTGACTGATAGATGGAATCACCACCACCTTCAATTCCTTCAAGCCCCACACCACCCTGAGTTGCAATATTTAATGTTCTTTTACTGTTGCTGCAAAATCCTGGAACTCCCTCCTGAATAACATTGCTGTTCTACCTACACCAAGTAGACTGCTGTGGTTCAAGAAGGCAGCTTACCATCAACTTCTCAAGGATCATTTAAGATGAGCAATAAATATTATTTCGGCCAGTAAGGTCTATGATACAGGGTTAGAATTGTGCGTAATGTGTAGACTGGTGTCTTGATGGTCAGGTTTTTACAGTATGTTTTGAGTTCTTTCAACTGTTGCAATAGTAGAAATATAGTCTCACTTCCGCATTAATTATGAAATAACGGTTACACATCTGGAAGAGGGGTGGATCTACTTCTAAATATTAATAGAGCTCTTAATGTTTGTGGTGATGATTTGGATCACAGATTTTGATGCATACAGAGATGTCGTAAGTATTTCAACTGGATCTTTTAGTTCATCTTCCTCACTTGATATATAATCTTCTTTATATGTGTATATATATCATACTTTGGTATTTTTTCATGGGATGTGGACATCACTGATTAGATTGGAGATTATTGTCCAACCCTAATTGGTTTTGAGAAGTTAGTAGTGAGCTGTCAGTCTTTGCAATGTGTGGATTTATTTTGGGATGAATGTGGAAGTGATACTCAATCTTTTCTGTTACTGCAACACTTTTGTTACAAATCAAACATCTATTAAAGCTGACTGTAGAGGCATCACCCTACTTTCCACACCTAATTATAACTCCAATTGTTTTTATAAATGCAGTGTCTTATGTTCTACTGCAGTTTCTTTAAGACTGTCTTTAAACAGCACGGCTAAAAAAAATTACCTAGTTTTTTTTGCATAATATTGGTTAATGGTGCGAGAGCACCTTTAAGCAAATTCCGTGTTGGGTTTGTTTTAATTTGCTCTTAATCAACAGCAAAGACTTGAGTACATGATCTAGTGCTAACTTTAGAGCTGTGCTGCTAACAATTCTATCTTTTGGATAAACTGTTTTACCAAGGCCTTGTTTAGCCCCTGGAGTGTGAATAAGATTTTACAGGGCAGCTTAGATGTTTATTTTCTTGACCATAGGAACAGCAGTAGGCCATTCAGCCCTCGAGCCTATTCTGCCATTTATTGAGATCATGGCTGATCTGTAGTCTTACTCCATCCTTTAGGCATATTCTTTAATACCTTTTTCTTAAAAAAAAAAAATCTAATTCAATTTTAATTTTAACAACTGATCCAGCATTCACTGTGGAAGAGAGTTCCAAACATCATCTATCCTTTGTATGTTGAAGTGATTCCTAACATCTCTCCTGAACAGCCTGGCTGGCCTAATTCTCAGACAATACCCCCTAGTTCTAGAATCCTATTATGCATTACTTCTGCATTCTGGTACTCTAGTCCTCTAGATGTAAAGAGCTAAATCACTTAATTATTTATTCATTAGTTGCTGGGTCAAAATCCTGGAGCTTCCATCTTGAATGGCATTTTGGAGTACTTGCATCATCTGGTCTGCAGAGGTTTGAGAAGATAGCTCACTGCCATCTCGATGGCAATTAGGGATAGGCAATGAATGTTGGCCTAGCCAGCCATTTCCATATCCTATTAAACAAGCACATTTTTAAAAATAGTGTTTGTGGGCTCTGACTGGGCAACTGTTCAGTTAACATCGTGGCTATATTTCAACAGTAGTTTATTGGAAATGGAGCACTATGGGATGTGCTGGCATTTTAACAAGTACGTTATAAATCCAGTTTTTGTCTGCAAGTTGTTACCTTCATAATCTGAGATCCGCTGTCTACAAGGACAAGGGTGCATCACCACTTATAAGTTTCAATCCTAGTCAGACTTCGACCAGTGTTGCTGTTTCTCATGTCATCGTGTCAAATTCCTGGCCTCCCTAAGAGCATTGTGCATGGACTACAGTGGTTTGAGAAAGCACCTCACCAACACTACCTCACGAGCAATCAGCAATGGGCAATAAATGCTAGCCTAGCAAGTGAGCACGCATTCTGTGAAATAATGGGGGAGGGACAGATTAATTCATTTATAAACAATGAGCATGGCAGATGCTCTGTTATTCTTAATGTATTCTCTAGAACAACGTTTCTTTTACAATACATGTATCTGAAGCTGCTGACACTAATGAACTTTGGTACCCTTATTTAGGATTTATCCATCCATGAGCCCGCAACCTTAAGGAAAGGGATTTCCAAGCCTCCAAGTCTGCAAAGTTCAAATGGAAGAAGCAAGCAGGTATGAAATCAATGCAAATTTTCAGGATATGTTTAGGCAATTGATCTGCAAACCATTATGTTCAATTGCAGTGCATGTTTAGTATGAAAGGGATGATAGATTAAAGGTCCTACCCTGAACTATTTTAGTAAATATCACTTTAAATGAACTTAGGATCAAAACCATTCCTTGAGTCTTCAATGTATGTTTCTTATAGATCGGCACAACACCTGCAAAGGAAGGTCTTTCAGGGTTAAAAGCACGGCTGCAACGAATCCAGAAACTTGCACCAGTACCAAGTTCATTTGCTTCTACATCCGAATTGAATAGTGATATCAAGAGTCGATTAAAACGGGTTCGAGAGCTGGAACTGAAAGTACAAGAAAATAAGGTAGAACAGAAAAAAACAGCTGAACAGGAGGTGACTTCAAGTGCAGCGGAGAGGTAAGGAATGAAGGATGGTGTGTAAAAGGTTTAATAACAAGATGTAAAATCATTTAAAAATAACCAAAATTTATGGAGCAGTTGTTGAACATGCAAGACCTCTTGTTTTCATAATACATGCTTTTCCAGGGTAAAGACTCCAGCATATCAACGTTTCCACAACTTGGCACAGGATGTTCCACCAGGGTTGACCCTGCCTTTCAAGTACAAGCTGTTAGCAGAGATGTTCCGTAGTATGGACACGGTTGTAAGCATGTTGTTCAATCGTTCTGAGACCATTACCTTTGCCAAGGTAAAACAGGGTGTCCAGGACATGATGAGGAAGTGAGTATTGTTATCATCCCAACTGATGTTATTATTGGACAAGCCAGATCCCAGGTGGAAGTCTGGGTCAATGGGTCATATTTTCTTTTGCTTTTTAATGAGGTGGTCTTTAACTAATTCAATTAATAATGCAGATTTAGGTTAACAACAAAACAAGTTTATTATGTTAAAAAAAGTGAAGATACAACTGAATAAACCAACCTATTTGCAGAATTAAAATATGAAAGAACTGCAGGTGCTGGAAATCAGAAACAAAAACAGATATTGCTAAGAAAGTTCAGCAGGTCTAGCAGCATCTGTGGAAAGAAATCGAGTGTTAACGTTTCGAGTCCAGTGACCATTCTTCAGAACTGGAACTCCCATTCTGAAGAAGGGTCACTGGACCCGAAACTTTAACTCTGATTTCTATCCGTAGATGCTGCCAGACCAGCTGAGTTTTCTTTTTCCCAGCAATTTCTGTTTTTGTTTCCATTTACACAACACATGTTTAAAGATTTTAAGACATGCAGTAAAAATACAACCCCATTAAACCCAACGGTATCCCATTATGGTATTCAAACACCAGAGAAAATCCCTTTCTCTATCCCACATAGGGTTTGACTTCATTTGGCTTCAATTCCTGGCTGAGAATATCCAGTCGCTTTTTCCTGGGGCCCTCATACAACTGAACTTAAACTTTCTCAGTTTCAAATAACCCCTTCAGGGTTTTAACCAAACGCTTCTGGTCTGGAGCTTTTAAACTAAGCTTATACTGAGGTAACAAAAACAGATTGCTAAAGCAACTCAGCTGGTCTGGCAGCATCTGCAGTGAGAAAGTGTTAAAGTTTTGAGTCCAGTGACCCTCTGTCAGAGATAGTAGGAACTGCAGATGCTGGAGAATCTGAGATAACAAGGTGTAGAGCTGGATGAACACCGCAGGCCAAGCAGCATCATAGAAGCAGGAAGGCTGACGTTTCGGGCCTAGACCCTTCATCAGAAATGGGGGAGGGGAAGGGGGTTCTGAAATAAATAGGGAGAGAGGAGAAGATAGGTGGAGAGGAAACAGACAGGTCAAAGAGGCGGGGATGGAGGCAGTAAAGGTGAGTGTAGGTAGGGAGGAGATAGGTCAGTCCAGGGAGGACGGACAGGTCAAGGGGGTGGGATGAGGTTAGTAGGAAATGGGGGTGCGGCTTGAGGTGGGAGGAGGGGATAGGTGGGAGGAAGAACAGGTTATGGAGGCGGGGACGAGCTGGGCTGGTTTTGGGATGCGGTAGGGGGAGGGGAGATTTTGAAGCTTGTGAAATCCACATTGATACCATTGGGCTGCAGGGTTCCCAAGCAGAATATGAGTTGCTGTTCCTGCAACTTTCAGGTGGCATCATTGTGGCACTGCAGGAGGCCCAGGATGGACATGTCGTCTGAGGAATGGGAGGGGGAGTTGAAATGGTTCGCGACTGGGAGGTGCAGTTGTTTATTGCGAACCGAGCGTAGGTGTTCTGCAAAGCGGTCCTCAAGCCTCCGCTTGGTTGGTACTAAGAAAGGTGATGTGGCTGTAGTAGCTGGTTTGCTTCAGGACATGGTCGAGCAGTTTCAAGGCCGAAGAGATTACAGTACTAAACTGCTTTTCTGTCTAAAGGTGCTGCCAGATCACCTGAGTTTCTCCAGCATTTTGTGTTTGTTTCAGATTTTCAGCATCCATAGTTATTTATTTTAATTACACCAAGATAACCTATTTTTAACAATTTTAAACTATCCTTTCCTTTTCTGAGGTGCAGCTGCTTTACACATCCAACTTCAGGTAAGTACCCTGCAGATCTGACAAAAAAGAAACTAAAAGAAAACTTTTTTCCAAGCTATGAGTGTTCCCCTAAGCTTCCCCCAAAAAAAATGTCAGCATCTTCCATCTGAAAACATAATGCACTGCACTGTTTTCTTTGTTTGATTGTAAATTCTCTTAATATAAACAAAAACCCATTGTTCCCTAAGAAGTCTTTCTCGCGTTGTGTTTGAAAATAAAATTGCCATGGCTACAGAATGACTTGCAAGTTAAACTTTAAACCCCTTTAGAGAGACAGAAAACCCATATGCCACTACTGCAAACTCAAAATTCCAAACTCAAAAACAAAGGTAAAACATATATAAATCTCACACCTTGCATCTGGTCATGGATTATACTGATCAACATTCAATGGAAGGTGACAAATAATATTGCACTGGTGAATTGTACCTACCTTCAGCTGGACAATGTCTAAATCTGGCTCTGTGAATTAAGGAAGAAAGAACATTTCCACCAGGATTCTTCTGAAAACTCTTACTTTATGTAATAACCTATTACCCCTCAAAATACTTGTTACAGAGTAAATTTGAAGCATGACCTTTTTATGCAGGCAAAAGACTGATTGCTAATTTTGTGTAAATTGTCCTCTTTTTGTCACAATTCTTATCACTTTCCCAATTACTGAACATTGGAATTAGGTGTTTTCCTCAGGACACAAACTTTTTTGTTTTCCAATGATGACATTTTAGACAGTTTGGGAAATATTTTAAATTAATTGAAGGAGATATTGAAAAATTTAGTGGACCTGGGGAGCATATTTGTGTTTTTGATATAATCATCTTGCTGGAATGGCAGTTTTAGAGGTGAATATGTGAACTGTGAATTGTAAACAAAATGCCTACAAAACCAGTAAAGTTTATTGTAGAAGTCCTTGCTGGTACTTTTGTTTGTTAGCTTACTTGAACAGTTACCTTCTAATGTCTTTGTAGGAAATTTGAAGAACGAAATGTTGGGCAGATAAAGACTGTTTACCCTTCTGCGTACAAGTTCAGACAGGAAAAGGGAATCCCAACATGGAGTGACTGTCTGAAAAGGTCCAGTTACCAACTCACCATTGATCCTGTGTTTGAAGGAGGTAAATGACATGAATTGTGTTGCAGATTTTGACTTTGTTTAAAGAGAATGGCCTTTTTGCAACTCTTTGCTATGCTTTCTTTTAAAGTTCGTTTTCTGAATAACTTCCATTGCTTTATAGCCTTATCCAAGGTATAGGAAATAAATTTGACTGTGGGCAACAACTGCATAAATTCTAGTAGACTTAAACTATTATGCCAGCTAAAGCTGGAACACTAATATTTAATACTTCCTAGCATTTGTGGAGTTCTGCTGCATTGTGAGCCAAAGGAGAGGCAGATGGGCAAGAACTATGTGCAAACTGTGTAATTAACTGTCCAGGCACTTTTTTGACCCTTTAGTCAAAGTTAACTTTTATTTCGTTGACTTTTCTCATTCTTAGCTGGGCAATGGTGGCTTGTAACTGGGCTACATTGGTTGGAATATTCTAGGGTCAATTCCCCTTTTGGAGTATGATACTCGGGTGACAGCCAGGATGTGATAGCTGATCTCAGTACATTGAGGCTGGGGAGCATCAACTGGTTCAAAGTAACTCTTGCTGAAAAATAGATAGTTGCAAAGGATAAAATTGGGCTCAATTGTATTGTACTTTCTTTCTAGCTATTGTTTACCGTCATTCAGGCTGTCAGTCATTACAGAGGTAACCATGGGACAGAATATCAACTCAGTTACTACTTTTAGTGGACAAGGGAACCTGAAGGATAATTTTTTGAAGTCTTTAAATACTATTTTCCTTCTTTCATTATCCTAAGAGGAGAATTCTGATGGCCATACACAACTAACAGCATCTCACTTGCTCTCGCGACGTCGCATCTTCAGCCGAAATCTTGTGAGCATTGTGAAACAATACCATAAGGTAAGCAGGTGGTCCAACAGGACATTTTGTCTTGACTCCACAGCTAAGTGTTGTTCAATGCAACAATGTAGCTTAATTAATCTGACAGCCATGTCACTAGGTTAGCAAAAAAAAATCCTGTGGTTCAGTTCACTCTGTCATTGCCAGCATCAATAATGGTTGTGGCTTTTGCTGGCAGCTTGATCAGTTTTGCCATTTTGAGTATAGGCTAAGCTAGATTTTGCTTTTAGTCTTTAAAACAATCCACCAGCATTGCAGATATATTCGGACAGAAGATAGTGTGTGTTTGCAAAAATAAAAATAAAATGGAGCATGTTTAGCACTAACATTACCATAGGTGACAGTGTTTCATTGAAGGTAAAGTGAGAGTGACTGCACTTGGAATCACAGAACCATTTGATCAAGTGTAACATCACTAGATCCTAGTAAAACCGAATTTGATGGACAAAAAGGCATCAAGATAGACAGTTTTGGTTTTTGGAGGTCAACCACCGCAGTCCCTGAGACATCGTTGTAGAGTTCCTTGGGTCTGTTCCCTAGTTCCAAATATGTTCAGCTGCTTCACCTTCACTTCATAAGGTCAGATGTGGGAATATTCATTGATCAATATTCAGCACCATTTGTGACTCTTAAGACACTGAAGCAGTTTAAATGCATATGCTGAAAGATGTGGACAGCATTAATTTTTGGGTTAAGTGAAAATTAATATTCATGCCACCCTAGTGCTAGCCAATGACTGTCACCAACAAGAGCAAATTAACCATTTCCCTATCAGTTCAATGGTATTACCATCGCCGAATACCCCACTGTCAACATGTTGGGGGTCACCATTGACCAGAAACTGAACTGGACCAAGCATATAACTTGTATGGCCCATAAGAGGTCAGACCCTAGGAATTCTGTGGTGGGTAATTCACCTTTTGACTGCCTAAAGTCTGTCCGTGATCTAAAGGCACAGTTAGAAGTGTGATGGAATACTCTACTTGCCTGGATATTTGCAGCTCCAACAACTCCATCTGCAAATTCCCCTCCAACCACACATTGTTTGACTTGGAACTATATTCCTATTCCTGTACTGTGCAGGGTCAAAATCTTGTAACTCTGGGAGGATGTCTCAAAACTTTATAGACTGCAGCAATTGAAGAAGACAGCACACCATTAGCATCTCTAAGGCAATTAGAGTGGGCGATAAATGTTGGTTTAGCCAGCAGCACCTAAATCCTGTGAAATCATGTCTTTTTTTTTTAAATTCCACAGTGGACAGGTGGGTGAAAATCCTTGGGGCTCTGAGTAAAAATTAGCCTGTTGAATATTTTATTTGAGCTGTTTTGTACCTAAAATTATAATCAAAAACAAAATATAATATTTAAAGTAAAACAAGTCTCTATTTTACTAGTGAATGTACTTGAAGCAATTAATTTATTGGTGGATAACACTTTAATTTGCACTCTTTCACCGTCAGCCACTAGCCCCAAATCATGATTCCTCCAACCATGTTATCTGATACATATTTTAGAATAGAATCCCTACAGTGCAGAAACAGGCTATTTGGCCCATCAAGTCCACAATGACCCTCTGCAGAGCAGCCCAGACAGACCTACCCCCTTATCCTATCCCTGTAACCCTGCATTTTCTATGGCTAAGCCACTAAGCCTGCACAGCCCTGCATTCTATGGGCAATTTAGCATGGCCAATCCACCTAACCTGCACATCTTTGCACTGTTGGAGGAGACCAGAGCACCCAGAGGAAACCCACACAGACATGGAGAGAATATGTAAACTCCACACAGACAGTTGCTGGAGGGTGGAATCGAACCTGGAGCTGTGAGCCAGCAGTGCTAATCATTGACTCGCCGTGCCCTCCATTTATATGATTAGATATGTGTGGGATATAACCTATAGCTTTTTCTTGTCTTTGAATTTGAAATAGTTGGGAGTTTCTGTATTAGTTTACTGGCACAACACATTGTAAATGAGTATACTGAACCAAGATCACTATGGTACTTACCATTGCCTTAAATTGGAAATATCCACTGAGTTATGGTGGGTGAGATGAAAGGACAAATGCTACCTTCTGCATTTCTTGCACACATCATGACAGTGCTAGCAGATTCTTGTTAACATTCTTGGTTAGAAAATAGTTTTTAGGGTGAGGCCTGTGGAGAACAAAATAGATTATATACGTGAACAAGTGCATAAATCCTGCTGTGACTGGAAAATTTGGTTTGATCATAAGGTGGAACTGAATTTTTTTTTAAAATGCAATGTCACTCATTTTGTTTATTTTTCACCAGATTTTCCTGGCTTCTCTTAACCCTCCAATGCATGTACCAGATGACAAGATTGCACGATGGCACCCACGTTTTAATATAGATGAAATTCCAGACATTGCTGCTGCTGAACTGCCCCAGCCCCCTGATTTAGAGAAGTTAACAACTGCTCACGAGGTCCTTGATAAAGCTCGCAGTATGATGACACCAAAGGTACTGATACGCCAACAATCCAGTCTAATCTAAAATCTCTTCCTGTGCATTTTGTGCGGTAGTACAGGGTGAGATAGTGGGGTCTTTGTGTTTAAAAATTGTGCACAGGCTTGAGCATGCCATTGAACCCCTCAGCCTTACTCCATCATTTAATTAGATCACGGCTGATCATATCTTCAGTGCTGTTTTGCCATAGTATCTCCATATCCTTTTCTGAAGTTATTATCCGGCAATCTATTGATTTATGTCTTGAACATGCTTAATGACAGATTCCGTAATCAGCTTGGGGAGAAACTTCCAAAGATTCACTGACTTCTGAATGAAGAAGTTCCTCCTCATCTCAGCCTTCTATGGTCTGCCCCTCATCCCAAGCGTCACCAGCTAGGTGAAACATCCAGCTGCTACCCATCTCGTCACGCCCTGCAAGAATTTTACATGTTTCAGCAAGATCACCTCTCATTCTTTGAAACTAGGGAATACCCAACCAGTCTCTTCAGTTTCTTCATAAAACAATCCTGCCATCCCAGGAGTAACTTGGTGAACCTCTGCATTTCCTGTATAGCAATTGTATCATTCCCTGGATAAAAAGACAAAAAAACTGTACATAGATGAGGTCTTACCAAAGCTCAATATGACTGCAGGAAGTCATCTTTACTTCCTACTCAAATCCCTGTGGAATTTAGGCTGATAAATCATTTGCCTTCCTAACTGCTTGTTGCACCTGCATGTTAACTTTACGTCACTGCTGAACAAGGACAACCAGGTCTCCTTTGGCCAACTGCATTTCTTAATCTCTGTAGCCATATCTCCGTAACAGTAATTAAATCGTACCTGTTTACCTCAATTTTTGCGTTCAAATCAGCAGTTTTTGCAAAGGCTACGTGTATTCAGTGTGCCTTTAATTCTATGTTTGTCTGTATTTTCCATTACTATGAATGTACTATACTAAATTTTATAATTTTGCATTTTCAGATGGAGAAAGCACTTGCTAACATGGCCCTCAAAACTGCAGAAGCTGCTATGGCTGCTACTACTGAGCAAAATACGGAGCCAAAATTACTGAGCCCAAGCCCTTCTAGTGCACTGAAAGGGATTTCCCAGAGTCTGCTAGAGAGGGTAAGCTGAGACTGACCATTAGAGATGTAAAATTTAAGTTTAATGAGTCTATAATGTCCTTCTGTCACAATGTTTTTGTAGTACACTCTGGTTAATATCCACAGGTTGAATACTACTGTTAGACATAGAAACCTAGTTTAGGTTTCTGTCACAATCAGTTAACAGTTCGGTGCTGTAATTTCCCTTATGCTTGATGTCTAAAAGAAGAATGAACGTGTGTTTTAGCTTTATTTGTGTTTTTGTAAAATAAAACAGTGGCAGCCTACAATATTGTTACAATGTGTATAATATAATTCATTTATAAGTGTTTGGAATGCTACTTCCAAAAGCATTAACAAGTAAATTTTGCTTGTGCAGTTTTGCCATTCATTCAAATCAATGTATAACTAATTCTTATAACATTGTATTTAAGACCACTTCATTATAATTCCCTTGTTGGTCAGGTTGTTCTTCCCTGTCTCCATTGAATGTAATGCATCATTTACTTTTTCTTGTTGAGGACAGCCTTATGTTTAATTTGTACACTTTGGTAATTGGTGATTACGATGAAGTTCTTTTCCTTTTTTTGATTTAATGCAACATTTCTATATTTTGCTCATTAGGTATTTGTATTCTATAGTTAACTGAATATTGATTTGGAGACAGAAGCACTAACGATCAATACTTGTCATAGATTCGTGCGAAAGAAGCTCAAAAAATGCAGGCTGTAATGACCAGAACTGCTGCACAAACAGAGCGTCTCAATATGATGATGCGGCTGCCTGACATAACAAGAATTCTACGCAATGTCTTTGTGGCGGAGAAGAAATCAGCCTTGGTTATGACAGCGGTTTGCAATAGGGTGGTTGACAGCTATCGCTCAGTGATGCCCCTAGGTAATTTATTAACAAATTGATGGTTAATAATTATTCTGATATTGCAGATAAATGGTGATGCTGACCCAGTGGATACTGCAATGAAGAATATTTTAATACATCAATTCTATTGAATAGCACTGCTTCATGTTGCTGTGAAAATATACTGCTATAATTATTTTAATATCATGAACTTAATTTTAAAATGGCACTCCTTCCAGACCTGTTTGTATTTGTTCTTTAAGATGCTGTAAGTTGTGCCTGTTTATTTAATGCAGAAAACTTTATAAATGAATTACAATAGTGAAGGTTGTTCAGTCCTCATGGAAAATACACAATCAATTTTCCCATTCTTCTGCTTTACTGTAGAGATAATATCAACTGGGATATGAACAAGGGCAGCCTTTCAGCACCTTTTCCAAGAGTTGTGTTTTCATGAACCTACAAGTACCACTATCACCATTCCTTTCTTCTTCACTTTCCTTCCACATGACATATGCGGCGACCAAAGCACATGGTAATGCTTGTTTCCAAAGTTGAGTTTCCTGTTGCTAGCCAAATATCAGAGGCTGTAATTTGTGGGATGCACATCATGCATGGCTGACCAGAATATATTCTGACTCTTGCTGCCTGCAATAGGCATTGGGCATGTTATGAGTGCACATTCCCTGGGCATCAAATCCTGGAATGGGGCTTGAACCCAGAGCTGGCCAAAGGCAGTTATACTCCCCACTGTACCCCATGACCTCCGTACTATCACTATACTCAGCTTGACATACAACTTTGCCATGCTGGTCTGCCTGCGGCCTGATTTTATTTCTTGTTCTTCCTTAACCTGAGCTATTAAAACCAGTTGGTGCCCACTTGATTGGCACCACATCCACAAACGTTCAGTTCCTCCACCACTGATGCTCTGTAGAAGAAGGGTGCACCATCTACAAGATGGACTGCAGAAATTCACCAATGCTTCTTAGATAGCACTTTCCAAACCTACAGCCACTAATTGGGAAGGACAAGGCAGCAGGTACATGGGAGCACCATCGCCTGCATATAACTTTCCAAGCTACTCGGCATGCAGACTTGACAATGTTTTGCTAATCCTTCAATGTGAAAATCCTGGATTTCCCTCCCTAATAGCAGTGTGGGTGCACCTACACCAAATGGACTGCAGCAATACAAGAACGTAGCTCACCACAAACTTCTCAAGGGCAGCTATGGATAGGCAATAAATGCTGGCCCAGCAGGTGACACACACCCTGAATGAATTTTTAAGAAACAAATTGTGATAGCTGCTTTGGCTCAACATTACAGTTGACAAATGTCAAGGATTGTACTTGGAGACCTTTCTGATCTGCACGATTGAGCACCATAGTCATCAGTGGTAACATTCACCAAATTATCAATAATCTAGCCATATGGTGTGGTAAATTGTCTGAAATTCCTTTAATTGCATTTGATCAGAATTCCACGTGAGAAGCACTAGGGATTCAGAATAAACACTAAACTGTTAAATGTAAATTCTTAGTGTTGTGAGGGAAGGAAGGACAAGCTGAATGGGGTATCTGTGGACTCTCAATTTGCACTCTACTGTTTCTAATTTACAGAAATGCCTTTGCATACTTTACAACTTGGTTCAGAGTAATAAAATTAGCAGATAATACCAAACAACCTGGTAAAGTGGATTTGAATGAGTTGGCATGAAATGGCAGTTGTAATGGAACGTGAATGTAGCAAGCGAAATGAGGGTAGATTTTTTTAAAAATTGACTCAGTTGGAGGGAAAAGCATGTTTGCGTTTTCCATGACTAGTGTCAAAGTAGGCTTGGGATGAAGCCAAAACAGACTTGGGAGTCAGTATGGAATCTGAGCTTGTGTTCAATAATGTGGAAAGCAAACTGAATAACCAGAACAGTGCAATATAAGTTGTATGTGGTTTTGACCAAACTATATTGTCTCTGTCAGACCATATCTACCAGGTGTGGTTCCCAAAACAAAAGAAATACTAAAGCAGTACACAGAAGACACAGACAGTACTGACTTCTGTTACCCAAGCTGTTAGTTGCAAGGGGAAATGCTGTAGTAAGTTGGGGGTCTTTTCCGGCTGGAAAGAAAGCTGAGAAATTATTGTGTAG